CTCCGGGCCGCTGAGGAACTACCTGGAGGAGTTGGAGCGGGACTTCAGTGGTGGTGGTCTGGAGTTTGTGGACGATGAGGAGGATGTCGAGGAGGTGGTCGATGAGATGGAGTCGGAAGGAGAGCAGTCGGGGTGGAGAGCTTGGGAATGCCTTGGGGAGCTGGCGATGGTGTGTTGTGGAGATTGTGGACTCCTTCAACCCCGGCACCCCCACCAAGTCCCGACTGAGGATCCAAGGGACATTCGCGGCTGCGGGGTGGTGATGAGCTCCATGCAAGCGGCGGTGGAAGGTACGCTGGACTTGGTGGAGGCGACGCAGATTTCCTGTGGGTTCTGTGGTGGCAACTTGGAGTATGTGGACGACTACCGAGAACGTCGGACTGGAGGTCTATGGAAGGGCTCGAGTTGTTCTTGGGATCAAGCTGAGGAGTGGCACGCCATGGAGGTGAGGTCGCACTTGCTGATGAAGAGGTTATGGAGTGAGGAGTTGCGCCATCAGGCCATTGGAGAAGAGCAGGGCAGACAGAGAGGGCGATGGATGGCTGCATTGGAAGCTGGACTGTTGGTACAAGAGGATCATTTGGAGGACCAACATCGTAAGCTGGAGTCGGTGAGGTTGGCTGCGGTGAAGAATGAAGCAGGTTTGGAGTTACAGGATCCTGGAGCTCCTCCACCGGCGGTGTTGCAGACCTATGCAGTTCCCCTTCAACGAGTCCGACAGGAGCTTGCGGCGTGGGTACCTCCGATGACTGACGAGTACCAGTCCTTGATTGAAGGAACTAGGGCATTGAGCCCGACGACCATGGAAGAGTTGGAGCAGGATCCATTGTATGAGGTGATGGAGGTGGCGCCGGGGATGTTGGTTCCGACCATCAAGGCACCACATGGGAAGAAGCGGGCTCGCATTGTAGTCTGCGGCAATCGGTTGGAGGCTCTAGATGGCAGTGGTGCAGCAACCTCGGGAAGGGAGGAGGCCCAGAACTTGTATGCCGGCGGAGCTGACGGAACAACCATCCGATGTCTTCTACGAAAGGCGGCGGCTATGAACTGGGAGATCGCCACTTGCGATGTCAAGACGGCTTTCCTTCTGGCACCCAGGGAAGACTCCAGTCGAAGATTGGTAGTGGTGAAACCGCCACGCATTTTGGTGGAGGCGGGCATTGTGGGACCTCAGGAACTATGGCGGGTTCAACACGCCCTCTATGGACTTCGATCCTCGCCGGCGGACTGGGCTACCTATCGAAACCGGCTGATGAGGTCCTTTCAATGGCAACATGAAGGGAGGACGTTGGAGCTTCGGGAGACGCCAGAACCCAACCTTTGGAAGATTGTGGAGAGACGACCGCTGGATCAGGAGGAACCGCCTCCGAAGGGATTCATTGGGGTCTATGTGGATGACTTCATGGTGGTTGGGGCCAAGGACATCGTGAAGGGAGCATTGAGCAGGATTGAGATGGAGTGGAAGTGCAGCCCGGCGGAATGGGTCAATAGCGAGAGATGGACGAAGTTCAGTGGATTTGAGCTGAGATGGAGCTCGGCGGAGGAGGACAGCGGGCTCTATGTGGGGCAGCAAGCATACATTCAGGAGCTTCTGAGCCGACATTCCTGGGTGACCCCGGCTACGGTACCTTTTCCAGGAGTACCCAATGAGGAGCCGGAAGCGGAAGTCACCTTGGAAGATGTGAGAAAGGCGCAGGGAGTGGTAGGTGAACTACTGTGGGTGTCAGTGAGAAGCCGACCTGATCTGGCCTATGGAGTAGCTTGGATGGGACGACAGGTGACCCGAGCTCCAAAGCGGGTCTTGGAGTATGGATGTCAGATGTTGGGATATTTGAAAACCACCTTGGCATGGTCGCTTCACTATGGACGAGCCCGGTCTTCAATCCCTGGAGAACACTACAATCATACTATGAGGGTGGACGTCCTTTCGGACGCATCGTTTGGACCTCCTTCTGGGAGAGGGTGTCAGGGCGTGATTGGAACCTATGGGGGCGAGCCGGTCCAATGGGAATCCAGGCAGCAGGCGTTTTGCACGCTGTCGAGCGCAGAGGCTGAACTGCTGGGTTACACAGAAGCGATGACCATGGGGGATTCCTTGGCGGCCTTGACCAATGTTCTGGAAGGAACAGGAGATGGAATAGGAATAGAGTGCCGTTTGGGGGGAGACAACCAAGCTGGTCTTCGAATCCTTGAAGCGCCGGATGGACCTTGGAGGACACGTCACCTTCGGCTTCGAGCCCATGCACTGCGGGAGAGGGTGAAGTGGGGCGCTTGGAAGGTGATCCATATCCCAGGTCAACATTTGGTGGCTGACTTCCTGACGAAGCCGATCGGAGTGGCTGCGAGATGGCAGCACTTCTTTGCGGCCATGGGAATGAAACCAGTGGTGGAAGCTGTGTCTGAGAGCCTAGGGTCCAAAGTGGCCAGGATTGCAGCTCTGGTAGGTGGGTTAGCGGGCGTGATGGCCTGGCGGCCGTCAGGTTCCACGGGCAAGGCTGCTCAGAGCCTAGCCGTAGCTGCGATGGTAGCTAGTTTGGCCACCAGCTGGAGAGCCGGCTGTGATTCTAAGAAGAGAGCCACTGGGCCGATAAGAGATGAATATGCAGATCCACCATATGGACTTCAAGATCAGGTGAGGGAAGATGAACCCACCTGCAGTAGAGATGATGGGTCGGAAGAGGAACCCATTAGTGAACCTAGCCCTGAGGGCTCCCGGGATTACGCGGTAGATGTGAGCCATGGCGGCAACTCGAAGAGGGCACGATTGGCTGCTCTGAGAGAGGGATCTTCGACAGGGCTCGGAGGGACATCGTCGACGACTACTGGAGAGGTTCCAGTTGTGGACTACGATCGACCCTGGACATGGAGGAGGTTCACTATGCCTTCGAGGGGTCAAGATCGATGGGACCGACTTCCAGGGGGATGGTGGGTCAGACACCATGTGAAGCAGAGGATGAGACCATTCCATCCAATTCATCGACACACACCTATGGACTGTAGCCACATTCAAGATCGGAGAATCACCGTGTTGTGGTGCCATGGGGAAAAGGTGATCAGGGATGATGAATGGAGGAGAGACACGGAACCACCAACGAGGGACCCCTGGGTAGGATATACCTTCTTCAGGGATATTCATCCAGACCCAACGGCGGGGACTTTGACTTCGACCTCCAGTTCATCAACTACCAGAGGACAGGGCGATAGGACGTCTTCCTCGATGAGCGGTTCACTGACCTCCGGACCACCGCCAATGCCGGGCATTGCGGAACATGGTCCAGAGATGGAAGGAGTGCCTCGAGATGTCCGACCAGATCGTCAAGGACAGGACCCGAATCCGGTGGAATCTGGTTCGGAACTCAGCACAAGGGTGAATGAGGGAGCAAGTAGCAGTGGCATTGGAGGCTATGGGCAGCGGCTTCATGGCCATCAACAGCGAGGAGAAGTTGAGGGATCGGGGACGTCTGGAGATTCCCGAGAGCTTTCCTTGGTGAGTGAAGAGATTGATCGAGGGTGGGACTATGACCCTGCCTATTGGGCACAAGGACCTGGAGGACATGATGGAACCACATTGGAGGATGATGTACGGGATGATTGGCTGGCGTTCATGCGGGACTTGACAGTTGACACAGGGTCTCCTGGAAGGATCCAGCCATTGGAGAGCGAAGAGAGTAGTGCAGAACGACCTGACTGGAGGAGAAATCTGGCCAGTGAGGATGAAGAACCGCCAACCTTGGACGAGATGACAGCCCGGGGATGGAGGGTGGTGCGAAGCAACTTGGCACCCCCGAATCGAGAAATTTACAGGGGGCCGGATCCGGTGCCACCGCCGGATGAGGACCCAGATCAGGAGACACCGACCTGGATGGGTGTGTCCACGCAGACGCCAGTGAGGCCTAGGTCAACTGACCCTTGGGAGCCGCGACGCGGTTTTTCTGGAACCTCAAGGGTTCGAGAGGACTCAAGTGAGTCTGATGAAGGCTTTGAAATCCGCGGAGGGTAGAAGAAAAAACCTACCCAAAGCGAAGTGACTTCCCAGAAGTCAGGGGGAGTGTGGATCGAACATTCCACTCCGAATTTCGACAGGTGCACAAATCAGAAGTGTACCTTTTGACCCTGTCTGGGCATTTGGCTCAAGAAAATAGGTCCGACGGGCTGGACCGACCGATCTCGTAACCACAGGGTTAATATGTTATGTATTTTACAATATTCAATATTCCACAGCATGGATGGGTCTGGGAGTACGCAAATCCAGCAGTCCAATCCAATATCCCGAATGAAACCACTTGTTTTGTGGTTGTTTAGATGCCCGGCGGCCGATCGCCGATCACTGGTGATCGCTGGAGTCTCCAGTGGGTGCGGACTTGTGCGGAATGGGACCCTCTAGGTCACGAACAGGTAGGTCGATCTCCAGGTTATACTTGTACTTGCTGGCAGACTCCGGTATGTCATTTGAAGCAGGGTGGCTTCCAATTTTGGAATGTGACGCGAGAAAAACAACACTGTTTACATGCATAAAGGACTTTGAGTCATTGACAGAGGCAAGCGGAATACATCGTCCTCCTACATACTGTGTCTCACAGACGATTGACTCAGGCTGTGATTGCACCCGACACGCGAGATGTCTCCACTGGCAAAGGTCTCAAACATTTAAACCAGATGGTCGGTGGCGATGGGTGTCACAGGTGAGTAGCAGCATGTGGAGAACCAGCATCTCGCGCTCCTTGGGTGGGTCAATGTACAGTTCCCGTATTTGGGGCGCGCTCTAAATTCGCAACACTTGTTCGTTTTCATCGGTGTCACTTCGTACGCTAGAAAATGGGCATGGGACATGACCCCAAAATACCCCACAAAAAAAACAAAATGTACGTAATTTGCACTACGTATCCCAAGTGTCCGAGCTACGAACAGGGTCGACTTCAGGTAACTAGGTCGTCCTCATCCTCACATCCCCATGTGGTCCAGTCTGGTCGGCATTCGGACCAGTCAACATGTTCGCCGAGGAAGAATGATAGCCGCATGTCCTTCTCTGCCTTGCGGGAGTTGCTTTACGATCCCCACACCCGGAGGATGCGGCCGCAACGGCTAGTGCCTTGACAGAAACTCCGTCCACGTGAGGGGTTTGTTTATTGGATGCTTCTTTGGGGGGGAGCTTCACCTCCGGATGGTTGTCCAGGGTCAATATTGGTGAATTTATAGTAATTAACCTATATAGAGCCTCGCTATTTTGGACCAACCAACCACAATGTGGTTTTGTCCTATATCCAAGCAGGGGTCAAATGAGTTCTCAGAACCTTTGATAAGATAGCTGACCTTCACAAGACTCCCAAACACTTTCTCAGAAGAAACAAACACATTATAAAAGAATTCCGCCCCTCGTTCTCCGCCTCTCAGCCCGTTCTAGGCCACCATGCTTCAAGCCTCCCTGGGCGTGGTGGCGGACGCTGAGAGCCGAGAAGGCTTCATCGACTTCGACTCTGTGCCGAAGGACGGGGATCGAGGACAAACAGCCATGAACTTAGTTACTAAAGTATGGACCAACTACAACTTCAGTGCGTTCGGGGAACCAACCGTATGGAGGTTTTGTGGGGCAACATGTAGTTACTAAAAGGAACCAAACAGTTGAAACATGGGACAACTCGTTTTGTTTTACTTCCAGACACTTAAAGACCATATGTGAATACGGTGTCTTTTAGACGCATTCTTCCATGTTCTGGGAGGGGCCGGGATTGTGAAGAAGTTGGATGATCTCATGTCTCATGCTATGTGGGTTGCTGCTTGGATTCTCTTGGACTGCACCAGGACAGTGCACCGGTCTCAGAGGTCGTGAAGTTCCTCCTGTCGGAGAACGCCTCCAAGCCACCCGGAGCAAGCAGAGCGGCAACTGGGCGGGTGGGGTGAGCCCGCCAGGGTGACTCATTTTCTGAGTCCAGAGTTGGACACTCGGCGCTCGGCCACCTTGCAGAATCTGAATCCCCCCGCAGCTTGGCAGAACGTCTCAACTGTAACAATCACGCCACTAGGAACAAGAAGCTACGTTCGGGGCTCCTGGCATCGCTACGAACGGAGCAAGGACGCTACTATCGGAACAAGAAGCTACTGGAGAAACACGTTCGCGCCCTCGCCCCCGCGGGTCAAACCGGTCCCCCAACACCCTCGGTCTTTTCCGTGACCGAGGCTGCGGCCGCTGCTGAACGCTGAGCTGGCCTATGGCCTCGATCTGGTGCTGCGTCGCACTGCTCGGCGCCTGCGGACCACCTTGAGGGACCTGCTGGTGCCCCGCGTGCCGCTGGTGGGCGTGCGACTACCACAGTCCATTGGAACGAGAAGGGCCCGGGGGGGTGGGGTTGGTGTGATGAAGCGAAGGGTTGCAATTTGATTGCCGGTCTGCCAGGAAGTCAATGGTGATTGAGGTGAAATGTAATTTAATGTCATATCATGTTGTTTGTCATCGCTTCTGGCAGAGGGGAAGTAGTCTTCCCTGATGAGCCCATTGGTTGACCACCGCCCCTCTACTTGTGAGCCTCCCCCAAGGGCCTTCGGGCCGGGAAAACCGGGTGCTTCAGCTGGATGCCAAAGCGATGCCAAAGGTGTCTCGAGGAGGTTTGAGACAAAAATCAACACCAACTTCTCGAGAACCCATCGATCTCAGCATGACCCTGTTTTTGTGACGAGAACCCAGGCCGCCATTGCCTCCACTGCTGCTGCCAGTGCCACGAGATTTGGAGAAGACAGGACCAGCGGCCTTCCAAAGTGGCGTTGATTTGCCTCTCGCCGTGGTTGATCGAAACCACTCAACTCTCTCATAGAATCCCTATTGAAAAGCGCATTGGGATCCCAATCCCATACTTCCCTGTTGAACATTCTAGGCTTGAACGGAAAAACACAAAAGAACCTGGATGTTCATCATCTTGCGAGAAATCGATGGCAAAAAGGTTGACCTCCCCCACCCGAGGAGCGATGTCCTCCAGACTCGAACAGTGGGACATAGGAGTTTGTTCAGCGGCTACCCACCAGAGTCGAACGCCCCGAAGCTCGAACACCCGGACTCATGACGTCTTCCGGGCTCGTTTTCAATCACCAAACCCCAGACACGACCTGTTTGGGACTGGCATACAATCATGTACCAATCATCATGTACATTGGGATGGCTTTAAGACTCAATCTTCCCAAAAACTCGACACTCCGACTGCCCGAACCGTCTGACGTCCCGGTTAGGCCTGACGCATCCGGTTTTGGCTTTGAGGCTTGGCATCGACGAGATCTTCGAGGCCGTCTTCCCCGAGCTGAACACCTCCGAGGCTGAGCGGTGCCGCTGCCGCCATGAGAGCGTGGCCTCACTTCGCCCGCTGGGCGATTGTTGACGTTTTTTCGGGCGAGGTGCGCTTTTTTGACCAAGTTGTTCCATTGTTTCTTTGTCTTTCTGGAAGTGAGCTGGTTAGGGAGGTTGGCTTGTTGAGTGAAATTTGAATACTTGACTTCGGGATTTTGGATCAACGCCTGGAAGGTGATCGAAGAAAAGAAAAACGCATTTGTTTGGGGATGTCTTTCACATCGGCATCACTGAACAAGGGTGTTTGGGTGCTGTCAAAATGGCATTAATTATGCTGGCAATATACTGGCAAAAACATGCAAAAACTGGTTGTTTTTTTTTTGGCGTTTTGCAGGCCCCTACAGGAAAACCTGTACTTAGGAAGCCGTGCCTTTTGCACGATTCTGTATGTGATTGCTTCGTGTTTGGTAATCCTCATGTTCAACACATAATATCACATAATATGTTTATTTTCATGATGCGGTACCATGCAGTTTTGCTTTATCGGGTTGATGTTGGATGGGTACACATTTCTTCAAAGATACGGCGGTGCCAAGGCTTGAAGCTTTGGGTGAGATAGCTATACAGTATATTTATGATGTTGGAGGTTGGTTTCACCACGATCCTGGAGTGTGGTTCTCGCAAAACCCAATGGAAAGCAACGGAGTCAAAGTCTGGGAGGTTTGATTGTGAAGCATTTGTCCTATCATGTTTGTGTGGCAGCCATCTCTTGCCGAAGCCTTCCCTATGATGTTGATATGCTATATAATCATATATAATTTCATTGGTGTGGTTTAAAGAGGTTAATGTAGGGAAAGCAATATAATAATCCATACATGGGGTGTTTGGGATTGATTGTGTATCCCATAGGTTCGTGAACAGTAAATCCAAGCTTCATTCGTCGCCAAGTCATTGCCAGCACCAGATTGAAGTTCATGTGGTTTGAAGAAACCGGAAACGCAAACGATGTGTTTTGAAGCAGGTCTTTGAGTCTCCTCTCAGCATTCCACAATCACAAAGACCACCTACAGGTATGTCAGGTGTGTTCTCGTTACTGGGGAGACCTCTCAGGCGTCAAGACCTCGAAGGTTCGGCACACGAGACCGAACACCTGTTGCGGCTCGGGGCGGTCTCCCTATGTTTTGTTGCCACACTGAGAGGTATGGGTTCCTCGGAATGGGAAGCCTTTTCCCCGGATGCTTGGGGAGAAACCTCGCTGTCAGGATGTGGACTTTGACACCTTTAACGAGGCCGCCAAGGCGTGGAACTCTCAGATGGATGTTGCAAGCACCGGCTTGGAGCCTGCAGGGCTTGGAGCCGCGACAGATGGATACTACGAATGGTTTGAGCTCAAGAACTTGGTTTGTTCAAGACATGGGGAGTGAATTGGCTCAGGAACTACGCCAGATTACTTGTTTGGGACCTGGAATACCTTTGAAGGGAGCCAAGGACAAGTTTCCCTGGTTCAATCCCAGCCCCCCCAGAAAATATCGACGTTTTTCTTCGAACCTCCACAACCTCTGAGAGTTTGCAGGGCATTCTCAACGAGGGCGACGAGCTCCCAGAGCCCACCCCCCAAGCGCTGCTGAACGCGCTGCGCTCAGTGGCACAGGGCCAGGCGCCGCGGCGCACGCCGCGCACGCCGCGGCACACGCACCGGCGTGTCGGACGTTTCGAACATATTGGAGATACCAACCGGGATGCCAGTGGTCCAAAACGGGCACCTGATGGATGGAACACATGGTTCCTGGAGGGGCACCGGCACCGTGTGAAACGGAGGTTTCTGACGAACCGTGTGTGCTATTGGTGGATCAGAAGCAAACATGGTGGATCCGATCGACTAGATATGCAAGGACGGTTCTGAGATCATTGTCTACTATGCCCATAGGGTCCAGGTACCTCCTGAGGATGGTCTTGGAGGTGAAAGTACTTCCAGAGAATGGTCTTGGGGGGTCAAAGGACATCCTCAGGATGGTCCTGGACCCTTAGGGATGCAAATGGTTCCCCCCAGGCGGCCCCCTAGGCCCTAATCAGTGAGCACCCAGAAAAGCCATTGGCAATTCTATATGTATTACTGTATGTATGTATAAGTGCGCTTGCGGGAAATGGAGCTTTGCATTCGTGTGGCACCATTTGTTTCTTCAACCATCGCGCTAAAACAAAAGGACAGGACGGACAAGACATCTTACTGTATCAAACCGAACATTACCCTATGGATCCTGTGGTGCATTGAAGCTAGTCACCGAGACAGATATTTGTGTCGTTTGTGGACTTTGAATTGGTATGAATTGATACTTCCTCGAGTGTTTTGTTCGAGTCATCATCGATCTCATCTCTGGTGACTGGTGACCTCTGAAGAATCCCGTTTTGAAGTCCTCCAGTTGGGATACTCTGAAGGTGGAATGTATTACGCTCATCTCAAACCACTGAAAACGCACCAAGACGTCCCATGAGAATTTGTCAGTTGGGATGATGTTGAGACGTCGGTGCCTCCACTCGTTGAGGGACGAGCAAAGCAACGGAGGCCCCTTATATTATACTTGTACATTGTACATCTCTTTTCCGGATCGAACACTTGGCGCTGTAGCGGTTTTCATGAGTCATCGAGTTGGAACAAAACAATCTGGGATCAGGGATCGTTGGTGAAAAAGAACACACCATGAAGAGTTCACTCCTGATGGATCGCAATTCTTCACTTTTCAGCACTGTTTTTGACCAAGTCTATTATTAACAGATGGCTTTTGTTGATAAGATAATACTCCTGGACCGTATCAGATCCTTTTTGAAGCTATATATATAATCACTGCTATGTATAATGTTGGATCCTGATTAGTAAAAGGGTCCTCTACAATGCTATGTGTTCAAAAATAATTCAGAACACCAGGTTTGTTTTAAGGGTTCTCTATTATGCTAATTTTGTTGGGGAGCCTATCTTTTTATTATCTGAAAAAATGTAAGTGTTAAATCATTCGGAATGAGGAGATCTGTCAATACTGCTAAGCCAACGGCAGGCTTGCTGAGAGTATGGAGAAGTATAGTATAGGCTTCTCTAGTTCTTCTTCAAAACTGACAGCTTCCCAAAACCGTCAATTCCGTAGTCAATCCTTTTATGTAAAGATTGCTCCTAAACAAATGTTCAAGGTAGTAGACCAGGAAGGCTCCTGATCCTCAATTGTAAATTTGTTTTAAGGATCCTCAATCGTGCAAAGTGGTGTTCCTCATTAACAACAGTTAAAACCAAAAACACCTATATATATATATTCTCAATACATCTTAAAACTACTAAGCCAATGGCTAGCTTGCTGAGAGTATTGATAAGTATAGGCTTCTCTAGTTCTTCTTCAAAACTCACAGCTTCCCAAAGCCATCAATTCCTTAATCAAGCCTTTGTGTAAACATTGCTCGTAAACAAATTTTCAAGGTAGTAGACCAGTAAGGCCCTGATCCTCAATAATAGTTTTGTTTTCAGGGTCCTCAATTGTGCAAAGGTTTTTACTCAATAAAACACACAAAACAATTCTTTATGCTACTAAGTTGATATGTTGCTCTAGTTCCTCTTCAAAGCCGCAGAGAACCTGAGAACCTTCCTTGTCAATTACACAAGGAATCCTCCCATGAACCCAGATTTGTGTTGGTGGTGGTTTATTATAGAGGACCTCCCATTTGTTAGAGGGAGGGGGGGTCCCTTCTACTAATCAGGATCCTACATTATTATATATATATATATATGCCGGGTGTTTTCCAATCTTGCCATCAACAGTAGGATGACTGAGGGACCTTCTTGGAAAAGGAAATTGCTCTGTGCCAGGAGACTGCGGTGGCTGAGCTGGCTGAAGCTCTGCGGCAGTCACTGTCAACCCAGGAGCGCCGGCGTGGGGCGACATAGCTGGGGCATATCACCCAATGAATGATGATGCTTACGAGATTAACTTAAACCAGAACCCACAAGGGGTGGTTAATGGACACCCCTTAACCTCTAAGGGGCTATAAATAGAAACCCCTTACAGGGTCCTGGAAGAAGACCTCTTCTTTTGGCTTGGAACAATCTGGTTGTCCATGGTTGCACCTTTGCCGGCGGGCCTTGGTACCTCTCGATTTTTCAGTTTGCAGGTGGGTTCTTGTCCCTATCATAGTGCAACCTTCATTTGGGTGTATACTTCTATTATGAAACACACACAAGAGCTTTGTTTCTGCTCCATTTCTGTTCGTTGGGTCCACTTCGTGAGAATCGCAACGCAACTTGCAAGACCGGACACCTCGAGACAATGTCTGGACGATTTGCCAATCAGGCAATCAGGCCACGGGTGAGCCACAGAGGCTGTGGATCCATTGGCTCCGAGCCCGTTTCTCCCTGGTACGGGTCGTAGTACGTTGACCTCCCAAGTGAAGTGGGTGGTGCGTTCGGTTCATTCTTCAGTCCACCGGGGTCTCCTGGTGACCCACAGACATGTAGTCAAGTATTCCAATCGCACATAGATGCTCCATGTATGGTTTATATGCCGATCAGTTGGGGTGGTGCCAGAGGGGTCAATTGATCGGCATACATGGCAGTCCCATGGAGCGTCTGGGGTATGAATTGACAGGGGCTGCAGACCACCCGATGTAGGCGATCTCCCGAATTGGGCTGCTGACTTTTGCTGCTGGCACCAACTGTTCAATCGAAAGAGCAACGTAGCATGAGAGGATTTTTTGATGTGATGCACTTGTTTAAAATGGCTCTGCATAACATGGAGTGCAGTACTGTGATCTAATCCAACTGGGAGACCCATTCCTTTGAAAACACGTAAATGTGTGGACCTCTGTAGTGATCATGAGCATTTCACACATTTCAGCCGCGGAACCCTCCACAACCACCTCCCAGGAGACGCGAAGTGCCTTGACCAACGAAGTCTTGTTGGCGATCGCTCAGGAACTGAATCGAACTTGGAGGGCTCGCTTGGCTGCGGTGCGAGCATGAGAGTCGAGTCGAAGAAGAAAGCGAGAGTTGTAGTCGAACTGTCTATAATTAGTGTTAGTTGAGTTGCGAGGGTCAAGGGTCAAAACATGTCAAAACTGAGACAGGCTGAGACACATGTTGGTTCGGTTTTTTGAGTATCCATGAGCCAGGCAGCCATGAAGAAAGCCGATATCATCACATGTCATCAGCACTTTTGACTCTTGACCCAAGCCCATTTTTCATGGAAGCCAGATGTCTTTCAGATACAGACCTGTCAATGGCATCCCGTTCTGCGCATCTAAAGGATCGCACTTTTCATTCCGCAGTCGATGGCTGTGTCAATCTGCCGACTGGAATGTGATGTTTTTCGTGCAATGCCAACTGCACCCTGAGGCGAATGCCCGAAAACGTGAACCCAGAGATGTCACAATGATAGGCTGATCAGTTCTAACATGTCCTAACAAACCAGTTCTTGTCAAGGGGCACTCCTCCGAAAGCACTTTTCCAGCTGCTTTAGGGCCTTTGGGGTTGCATTCGATCCTTTTTCCAGCCAAAAACCTTGAGCATCGACATGAGTGCAACCCTGCTGTCAACCTCGTGGCGTCTTGCGGGAAACGTACCGCAGGTGTGGACTCCAAACCGGACCATGTCGACAGGGACGTGGGCGGGTGAGGTCACCCGCCACGAATAGGGGTCGTAAGATGCCTTCCTCATGCAATTCAAAGGTAGGTATCAGTGAAACTTGGCTAATGAAACAGACCCAGGGAACAGATGTTGGTTGTTTCATGAATGTCCATACGTTCTGCGCATGCTAGGACCATGCTAGGGTTCTTGGGCTTGTGAACTCAGGTTTCTTACGCCAAGGGAGTAGAACATCCTTGGCGTACTATGCCCCGAACAGAAAAACGCACCCCAGGCGGTGAGTGAACACATGTGGAACACAACGCTCCCATTCATTTGCCTTTGAGTCAAATCTGTCCGCGCACCTCCATGATAGCCGTCCAAGTGTCTGACCTTCCAAGGGTGCTGGTTGGATTACTGCAGACCGCGTATGTGTGTGTGTGGAGGTGTGTCGCAGATTCAAGGTGTTCTTTTTGAAGGGGGTGGCATCTCACGACTCATCTTTGAGTTCTCTTGTTTTCCTGTACAGACGCTCAATCTTCATCCTTCAGTTCAAAAGCATTGTTCTTTACCGAGACGTCGCTTTCACTGCCAGCGTTTTCGTCGCTTTCACTGCCAGCGTTTCTTGTTAACCTCCGTGATCCTCCATGCAGCAAGCATGGAAGTGGAGTTCACCCCCTGTTTGGTACTCGGATTTCAGGGTTTTTCCTGGGGGCCAGGCCCGGCCGCGCTGTCCCACGTCGCCATGATTGGCAGGGAGGGTAATCAAGGGACTTCAGATGCTTTGATCGTTCAGCTACGCCACTCCATCCGTCACGCCTCCCATGCCCTCTTCCCCCTGCGCCTGCCGCCGGATCCACGCATCCACCTCATCCACCGATCTACACGGTTGGGTGATGTGTTCGATGTATGCGATTCCACATGGAAAGTCGTTCAGTGGCAGCGAATCCCCTGAAGGGCTGGTAGCTTAGCTCTTCAAGTTTGTAGCCCTACCCGTGGATCACCTGAGCTTTTTGGGGGATTGGAGACACCCCACTGGTGGTGGAACCGATTTCACAGCTTCTGTTGAAAAAAGCACCGTGCTTCGGACCGTTCGGTGGGTTAAACATGTTGAAAACACCACAGTTCGGTTGCGCCGGGTCCAAACCACATGATGCGCAGCCGGTGGCAGCCGGTGCTTCGGATGGACATGCGGTCGACCAAGGCGTCCACGGTGTTGGGTGTGAGAAGTTGTTCTACCAACTGATGAGGAAAACCTTTGTCGATTGGTGGCCTATATACATGTATACCTATATATTTATAGCTGTATCATATTCTACCCGGAGTATTTAGCTGTAAGTTGGAGAGTATTTACTGTTGATGTTAATTGGTCCTTGGAAGCTGCTGCACATTGACCTTGAATTGAACAGAAGAAATAGCTTGTGAAAAAGAGCGTCATGAAGCATTTGAACGCTGCCTAACGATCACCCTTAGTCTAGTGGTTCACCGGCTGAGGATTTGCTCTTGGGCGACGAGCTCTCCCTGTCGAAGGCGGCGAAGAGTTGATCACCTGGACCTTTGGGCTTTGATCTATCCAAGGTGTATCCCATTACCAGTACAGTACCAGTCGGCCAAAGAGGATCATGATGTGGACAGGCCGTCGGTCATGGTACCTCCCCCAGCCAACCGGGAGGTGGACCTCCCGAACGGAATGGTGAGCTTTTCGGTGCCTGCCATATTCGTCCCATGGGAGTGGTTGGGATGGTAGGATGGCCTGATCATCCTGCTGCGGAGCAGTGAATTCGGCTTCGGATCGAAAGCCGCGAAACACCCGCTGCTGATCTATCACCTACCCAACGAATGTGAGTGAGGGATAGGCACATGGACATCTCTCAGCTTGGTTTCTGGAATTCTCCAGATGTCCAACCCAAGAAATCCACTTGCCACGATGTCGCTGGTCACCAGTGATTCCAATGTCATCGGCCGACCGAAAGACTGGTTCCTCAGTGGGTTTTGTGGGATCCACTACCAGAAGTTCCAGTTAGGCTTGCTTCATGGAGGTAGTCGGGGTGCCCAGAACATCCACTTATCCCTATGGATCCACATACAGAGCCTGAGAAAGTGATTGGAGACTATTTACCTGAAGATTCAAACACCTTGAAATTTCAAGGAGTTTTAGTTAATAGGGAGTTTTGATGGAGAACAGGGTGTTTCAGTTGTTTTGTGCCAAAACCAGTTGTTTTGAAAACATGCATTCACACATGTCCCAAACCGATCCCCTCCACACCCTGCACTGCCCACAATGATGCGCACATCCTGC